ACAAGTGATTTAATACTAAGAATTTGCTCTTAAATATCATTAAAATACTTATATTTCCGTAAAAATAGCAACAAAGATGATTTCAGACAAGTTTCTCTACAAATGTCACTTATTTTCAGGCTAAAAACAGTGTAAAATCAAGAATATAAGAGCTTAATTAATTAATCAAGAGTAAAAAGCCTTATAAAAACGAATTAGTGCTTATAGATTTATAATTAAAAAACAATTATACTTTTTATAAATATAACAATATTTTGTTAATTATTATAATTATTTTTCTATACAATTCTATAGGTTTTAATAGCGATATCATTTTAAAATTTTGTATATTGAATTGGAGATAATTATGTTTGAGAATTAACTTAGTTCCAGAAATTGTTAGTATTAATATTATAGTAGCAATATTAATTATTTGTTTAACTGCTTAATCATTAATTCTCTGTTTATAATTTATTATCACTTACATAAACTCTATCTAAAACTCTAATATAGAATTTAGAATTTTTAAAAACTTAATAGATCTTTAAAAAATTGGATTAAATGTATGAAAAAATAAGTAAAATCTTTTTCACATTTTAAAAAATTCTTGAAAAATATTTTATTTTTATATTAAATTTATTTTATGTTCTAACTAGATAAAAAAATCATATTACTCAGTAAAAATGTTTTTTAAGTTGAATCAATTTTTGCAAGCTCTATTTTTGTATAATTTATAAATAAGAAAACATTTTAAATTATGGTAAAATTTATTTTATTTTTATTTGCTAAGCTGTATATTTTACTATTTCAAATTGTTATACAAATGTACTTTTAATAAATTAATATAAAATAGTATAATATGCAAACTTACCATACTATATTTTACCATTTTTTTACCATCTTATAAGCCACCTTGTACTGTTTTATACCTTTTTATACAGTCTGATACCATCTTATACCCCAATTTAGAAAAATTATTAAAAGCGTAATAATAAAATCACTTGAAATATATAAATATTAACCATTTTAATAACAAAAATTTTTATTATTTTTATTTAAAAAAAGCCTATATTTTATATTGTATCATGATAAATTCTGCTTTAAAAAGACGCAACGTAAAGTCTCTAGTACTAATAATAACCACTGATAAATTTTATTTTAGTAATTTTAATTATTTGTTGTGCAATTAAACTTAATTATATAAAATCGATTTAATAATTAAAGCACCAAAGCCGATTTTAATTGTATATATATAACAAAGAAATAAATATAGTACCAATTTAACACGAGATTTATAAGAAAAATTTGTGTATTTTTATATCCCTATTTTGTCATTTCTTTCTGTTGTGTTTATTGTCAATTAAATTCTCGTAATATATCGCTTATCACCTTGTAATTCTTATTAATCATTCATTCTTATCATCAAATGCCATTGTGAAGTCGAAGAGTAGTCTGAGCGAGTGCACGTTTAGGCTCCTCTTATCATTTTAATTAAATTATTATAAATGATAAATTATAAATGGGATAAACTTTTATTCATTTCTTTTCTAGGAATTATATATTATACATTTATATCTCCGAGGAAAGTACGAACAAGAGCAGAAGAGCCATTGAAATGGCCTTTGATGATGTTATTAGTGATGATGCTATCGAGGGAGACAAGATGGCATATAAATGTCAAGAATTTCTGACTGCAAAACTAAATACTCGGCGTTAAAAGCTGTATAAACACTGTAGACAGATAATGGATAATTAATAATATGAGAAGATCAAAATAGTTATATCTCATTGATCTTCGTGATCAATAGGAATATTATGCCTTGGTGTAGAGTACTGTTATATAAAGTACAAAAGATTCGAATTTCTGTAGTTAGCTAGTTAACGTATCGATCAATATTAAACATCTTAACGTAAATATTTTATAAATTTAATTAATTTTTAATGATAATTTATATATTTTTCTTCGTTTTTAAGTGATGAACAACGTACCGAAGTGATCGATAACTGCTGTAAAAAGGCGATAATATGACATATTCCATTATATTATTCAGTTAATTTTTATGTTTTTTAATTCATTAAATAATTATGAATAAATAATTAGTATTTTATATTATTTTATACTAATATACTTTAATACAGAATATATTCTGTATCAGTGTTCTTGCAATAAGATACAGACTAATTTGTTAATTACTATCTGTTATTTAACTTGAGAGAAAATTATTGAATTGAATAATTATGAAATTAAGGAAATATATTCAAAGTAGAGTATTAGATATGTATGAAATCACACGGGATGTTTGATTTCGTTACTTTGATTTAAATATTACATCACTGGGGAAATACGGTTATATATGTTTCAATTAAACAGTTGAATAAACAATTCGAAACTTTGGATTCTTTAAAATGACTAAAATTTAATTTAAGAAAGTAATATTTTATACCTTCAACCTTCTCCGAAATTNAATCGGTTATATAAACATCATTTTCAGATTTAAGTCGTGGGCTTTTCGTGTTTTGAACTTAAGTTTTGAATAAATTGTAAACCGATTAATCCTTAAAAGAGATTAAATTTATAAAATAAAGTAAAAAATGCTCGTATTTTTTAAATTTTTACTAAAAATAATAATAAATTTTGATATAGAAACGAAAATTAAAATGTTAACCTTAGCAGTTTCCACTTTTTAAATGAATATAATTATTGCTTATTTAATCATTCTTTCCGTTAAAAAACGAATAAATACTAAAATATTCGAATCTATTTTTAACAAAATTTTGTTTTTAATGAAATGCATTATTTATATTTTGAGTTCATAGACCCTTAATTGTAGTGGAAAGCTTACACATCAGTTAGCGAGTGAAGATTAATGTACCACATCTTGTCATTTTTCTAACCTTCCCAATCGAAGGAAAGGAATATGAGGTTAAATTAAGTTAATATAATCGGTAAAAGAATAAAATTTAATTATGGATAAGTGTTTATTTGTCACTAAATATATCAAATCGACCCACACTACCGCTTCTCTGTATGTGCTTTTCCCATGATACAGGAGAATCACCCACGTTCGATTGTTGGTATAGCAACATAGAAGAAAAGATTAGTTTCTACAGGCTTTAGATTACAAAATTCCATCTAAGAATTGGGTTGTAAACAATTATCGAGTTTGTACTTAATAATGGATAAATAAACTTTATAGTGTACTCAATTATATACAAGGTTAGAATGCCTATTGTTGAGCGAAGTCACTTCTTTCTCTTTATTTTATTTTGCTTTTTCTACTTATTGAGATCGTTATAAAAATTTATGCTGAAGAATTCATTCGAAATTCCGATAATTTAGGTAATTATCAGGCAAAAGCACCATTAAGAAAATTGCTGTAGAGTTTCCAAGAATTGCTAGACCCAATAAACATAAAACAAAGCTTCTTTATCGAGTTATTAGTTTATTTTTCTGCATTTATTAATTATATTTCTTGATATAAAAATCTATTAAAAAAATATTAGAATTTATCGAGAAATTTATTTGGAGGGCGAGACAAGTTATATAGATTTCATTGAGTTATTTAAGATTTATAGGTCATTAGCGATGCATCAGATTCTTGGAAAAGTTCAAAAATATGTTATAATAAATGCGAGAAACATTCCCCTCCCCAGAAAAACGTCAAACATATTTTAAGCAATTCTATAAAAAGAAAGTTATAAGTCACGTATGTCAACTGGACGTGTTATAGGTTGATAATATTAAACTGAAATTCTATAGTTAACATTTGTATTAAGTAAATTTCTCTATTTTAATGAAAGAAAATACTATATTAAAGCAAAAATTTAATGTTTTTTTCGATAAAATAATGCTGAAAACATGAATTTCTTTATTTAATATTCTCATAGAGTTAATAATTTACTCGTGCTAAATTTTTAAAACATTTTTTTTCTTTTTAGAAAAAATAAATTACGACTAAATTTGTGTGTTAAAATTACTTTTTAAATATAAAAATTAAGTCATTAAAACACACATTAATATCGATATTTAATTTATCGGAACATCATTAAACCTTAACGCTAAATCGAATTATTGAAAATGAATTGTCGATATTCAAGATTGTTTTTATTATTATTATTTAATGAAAGCGCAATAAAGAAGAAAAATTGTAAAAAAATTTACATAAATTTTTATAGAAAATAATAACACATTTATTTATTTATTTATTAAACCATGCATTAACCGAGAGTTACTAACGCTAAATCGGGTTTTTAACATTCTATAAACGTTTTAACGCGTGAAAAATATATTATAAACTTCTACAAAAGTGTAACAAACGTTCACGGAATGAAAATAAATTCCCATTTATAAGAAAACTATAAAAGATGACAAAATCAAAATATTTCATTCGTCATCNCGTGCTAAATTTTTAAAACATTTTTTTTCTTTTTAGAAAAAATAAATTACGACTAAATTTGTGTGTTAAAATTACTTTTTAAATATAAAAATTAAGTCATTAAAACACACATTAATATCGATATTTAATTTATCGGAACATCATTAAACCTTAACGCTAAATCGAATTATTGAAAATGAATTGTCGATATTCAAGATTGTTTTTATTATTATTATTTAATGAAAGCGCAATAAAGAAGAAAAATTGTAAAAAAATTTACATAAATTTTTATAGAAAATAATAACACATTTATTTATTTATTTATTAAACCATGCATTAACCGAGAGTTACTAACGCTAAATCGGGTTTTTAACATTCTATAAACGTTTTAACGCGTGAAAAATATATTATAAACTTCTACAAAAGTGTAACAAACGTTCACGGAATGAAAATAAATTCCCATTTATAAGAAAACTATAAAAGATGACAAAATCAAAATATTTCATTCGTCATCCATCAGAAAAATTTAATTTTAGAATAAAGACTTATGCTTAGATTTAAATTAAATACTTTCCCTTTAACTGAATTATAATATGAATATCCACATAACAATAAAAATGCAGAAGAAGAAGAAAAATTACATACCTTTGTCTTCTAAAAGTTTAATTTTAAAATCGATGTAATTTTCCGAATCATTGTGCGTGGTACCCCCCGTTCCAGACAATCTTACAATTCCTTCTCCCACAACATGGAAATATAATACTATAAGAGGAAAAAATTACCGTAACTCATGTATATTATTATATACTACTATTATTATTATCATCAATGTAACATTTTAAATCAACTCAAAACATGTGCCTTCACTTTTCTAATGACGTTAACAAGAGAATGTTAAGGTTACATTCATTAGAAAAATTTAATATATATAGCCCTATATATATTTGAAGAAAATTAAACATGACATTTTTCAATATTCCGACGTTGAAATCTGGATTAAAAAATTGAAAAAAGTATTATTATTATTATTATTATTATTATTATTATTATTATTATTATTGAGGAGATGAGGTCTCTTGGTATGAGAATAGTCTAATTTTAAGAAGTTTTGTGAACAGACAAACGTACGGGTAAACTGTAAATGATTTTTAAGCAGTCATTCAACAGGTGGACAGAAAGAGAAAGTGAATACAAAAGCTGTTTTCTTAAATCGATGCGAGTGATAACTGTTCTTTATAAAATTGCAAAACTTTCCCTTCGTATACATTACTTTAAAAAAAATTTTTATAAAAGATATTAATTAGAAAAGTACGTGTAGAAAGGAAATTACTACATAACGGGATTTATTAAAAGCAATACTGTATTAAACAATCCTCATTATCTCTTATTAATGACAGTTGTTCCAATAATTGTCTCGAAAGATCCTATTATTAAGTCGTCACGAGTGAGCAAAAATCCTACACGACACTTCTTCAATTAGGCAATGTTCATTGTCAAGGAGGAAGAGGGGGAAAAAAAGTGAAATTTAAAATATAAAAATAGAATTTTTACCTGTTACAGCCGTGTCGTTATCCAATTCTACAAAAACTCTTCCAGAAACAAAAGATCCGGGATGATACAACAAGGTCTCATTATCTAACAATATGAGGAACTTTCTTAATTTTCGAGCCTCCCGTTTCATTGTTAAGCAAAATTGTGGCCTAGATTAAGGCAGGCCTTCAATGAACATCTGACATCCGGGACATTTGCAGAAGGTAAGCAGGATAAACGTGGGATCCCACCCTTGCTGACTTCTCCTGTCACGTACTTGACCGTCAACCTCCACAAATAACTGAAAGTGTATTGACCTTCTAGAATTGTTACAAAGCTGGATTATATAATTTACAATAATATTTCGCTACATAAAACGAAATAATTACGACCTTTTGTGATTTTAAGTGCAATTTATTTTACCTTTTCCGAACATAATATAACAATTTCATAGCATAATAAGTCTCTTTTTTATTTTTAATACTAGACCAATGCTATTTTTTTCCAGCTAAAAGTTAATTCTGTTAGATATTTTGAACAGACAATTTCATTAAAAAAAATAATAATATGTCTTTTTAAATATTTGAATAATTCTCACTAAAATTATACTTAAATCCGAATAAATTTTATTATTTTTATTACTTTTTTAAACATAAAGGAAATTTTACTTTGTTGACATTATAGAATTTTAGCTGTATTTACGTTTAAATATTTCTCTAGTTTTTTTTTTATGTGAATCATTAATCCGAATACTTTAAGATGAAGAGTCTTGTATAATTAAAAATACTAATTTTTTTTTTAAATATAAAATTTAATTAGGAAACGGAAATTCTTTGAGCATTCTGAATGGAAAATTTTTAAAAAAATTTTTATACGCTGTTTTCTTTCATTATTTCATTAATATTAAAAAAATGTTAGCTTATTTTTATTATTATTTATTTATTTAAATAATCTAATAAATATTATAATTAGCATTACTTACATTTTACTTATATAAAAACAGTTTGACAATATAATAAAATTTTTTTTCTGGATATTTTGAATAATAATCTTAAATACAAATTCTTTTTACATAACTTTTCTATTATATTTTTAACAATTAAAAATATAAATCTATTTCATAATATTATGGATAAAACGCTCTATTTCACAGTAATAAACAATGAATTTTATGAAAAAAAATAGTTAATTTCAGTTATAGAACATTTAAATTTTCAAGAATTTAGCTGGAATTTTTTTAGCGTGAAAACTCAATAGAACAATGAAACAAAACAGGAAAATTATAAAAGAAATTTGAGATTTTCATAAATCGTGATCTCACTTCATTATTGCTCTACATATATCAAATTTTATACACGAAATACTTTTTAAAAAATCTAATAAATTTGATAAATATATAAAATTAAAGAGTACATACATATATTTTTTTATTATATACAAATGTATACGTATATTATATGTGTATATATTTATATAAACACGTACACATACTATATAATAAAAACAAAATTAAACTTTTCTTTCTGAAATATATTTTACACGCATATAAGTCTTTTTAGATTCATCTACAAGAAATTTTTATGCACAAACCTTGATAGACTACTGTACACACATACGTATGTATACAGATATATAACAGATATATATATAAATGCAAGGTATGCAAATGATGTATATAGGTTCTTCTATAAAAAGTTACATTACTTTTGAAAAATACTGCATGTCATTTTATTATTAAAAAATAAATTTGACGTTTGGAGGTTGAGGAGAAGGAGGAAAATAGAAATCACGCAAGTGAAAGTTAAAAATCAGACAAGTCAATGCTATAAATGTAACACATAACTACTTTCTAAATACGGTAGAAGTTACATCACCGTGTTACCATATATAGCAAGACTGTCGTTCACGCTCGTTTGACGTAATTATTTGGCCATGCTTTCAAGGTTGGACACGCATTACAGTAACTTGTACGGTTAAAATGGGGCGAAAAATCATTAACAAACAATGCTGTAAGGCTTAGTTACGAAATTAAAAGTAATACTGTAAGCTGGCAATTAACTATCAAGAGATGTATTTCGTTGCTTTGTAATTATTTTTTAAATTTAATTAATGATTTAAACACCGTACACTACATAACCTCACCAACCAACCGGTAGCTCGAGGACACTTTAGAGTTTACGCGTTTTCTGAGTTAAATAAAAATCTATTTTTGTTTATTTAAATAAATAAATAATATTTGCGCATTTATGTACGTGACACGATAAGAAATATCGAGCTAACTTTGTGACAAATTTATAAATTCATCGAATAATATTGTTACTATGACGACCAGAACTTTGAATTTGTAATGCGCCACTTCGGGAGTAATGAAGGAACAGCTTACCATTGACTTTTACAGTATTTATTAATACATAAATTTTTGTCCTTTTGTGCGTAATATTTAATGTCTGAATTTAAATTTATACATTTATTTTATATTTTATAATAATAAATAACGGATTTTTTTAAAAATTCATTAAAGTCTTCCTTGAATTATACTTTTGTATAGTTAACAAGATATATTAAAGGGGAAAAGAATGAAAAATTATTTTCGTAGAAGAAATAAATAATATTCTTTTTCCTGTGTGTTTATTGTATTCACATAAAATAAATTTTTATGTTATTAATCTTCTAAACATAAAGAAAAAAAATCTTATTTATTTACTTGATTTTTATTTATATTTTCCTAAAAATATTTATACAATCTTACGATAAAAACGCTATAATAATAAATATATCCGTCTGTCTGTCAGTCCGTTTTATATGTATGTATATATATATAAATATATTTATTTATTTATTTATAACAGTATAATGGAAACTAAATGGAATCATTTAGCAATGTAATATTTAATCAAAGAATTTTTAGTGCAATTTATTTACTAATATAACTATTAAATAAGTAATAACTTAATAATTTTTCTTGAAATATTGTCGGAGATGGGAACATAAGCGGTAGGAGACTTTAGTTGCTTTATGGATCTGGTATGATGTTTCCTTGTTAAACTAAAAGATGTTTTCTCAACTATATATATACGCTATATATAGGATTTATGAAGATATGTTTTACAAAATAGCCGAATTATTCTACAATATATTTATATTATAATTTACTCTATCTAGAAAGCGAGTTTTATACTCAAGGTTATTTTCCAGATGATCAGAATAGAACTTGAATAAAATAGAATAGTATTTTCTTATAGGGAAAAAAATTGATGGNATCTTAAAACAGTTAAAAGTATTTTGAGTTGTGTCAAATTAATCCATATTTTGATTTAAATATAAAAGTGCATTATTATTATTATAGAAATTTTAATTTATTCTTTTTATTAAAATATAAAATAAATATTGTGAATCTTTTTCGATTTGCTTGTTTTTTGATATTTTTAAAGTTTAAATTTAATTAGAAATAAGCTTTTAAGTAACGAAAATGTATACAAGATAAGTGAGATTTTTAAAAGGATTTGTTTAATTTGTGATTTAAGGATTTAGTTCGGTAATTTTGATGTAAATTTCTATCGTTGTTATGGGAAAAATACTAAAAATACTCGAAATTTACATCAAACCCTAATTACAATGCGTAACAACATCAATTAACAATGAAAAATATTCTCTGTTAAGTACTTTTCATTGTTAGCTTACACTGTTAATCGTTACAATTAACATTAGGTGAAGTAGTGTAATAACAATGAACACGCTTGTGTCGCTGAACAGTTAAACAGTTCAACAAAACAGATAAACAACGAGCACGCTTGTATTAATGAACAATTTAAGAACAATGAAGACCTTTAAACAACAGTGAACTCACTTATATCAATGAACAGTGAAACAACAATAATAAGCTTGAATTAACGAATAGTTAAAGAACAATGAAGACACTTGTATCAATGAACAAAAAACAATGAACAAGCTAGTATTAGGAAACAGTTAAACCAATGAACACGCTTGTATCAATGAACAGTTAAACAATGAAGACACTTGTATCAATGAACAGTCTAAGAACAATGAACACAACAACATTAATAGTTAACTTATATTGTTACACTTTCATTGTTAACAGAATCGTTTATAGTATGGTTAATTCGCATCTATTGTATTGTGGCATGTTAGATGCATCGTGTTAAAGTTACATATATTTCTTTCTATTTAATATAAAATCCTATAATATATTAACAATAAGACACTTTATACGTGCGATCGATCACTAAAATATAATTTCACATACCAAAGAATTTGTTATATGACACATAATGTGACTACAAAAATATCCTTCTACGACATAATTACCGCGTGCATGGCACACATCGAAACAACATAAGATTATTTATTTATTTTTTGATGTGGTGATGAAAATAAAATCTTATAGAATTAAACACCTAGTGCTATCGGGTGTATTTTCGGGCGTGGTGGGAAGTGGAAGTTTTGTATTACTGGATTTTCTGCGGATTGCTACTGCTAAAGAACTCAAACGTCGACTTAATTGTTTTGATGGTCTTCTAGAAGAATCGGGCGCTGGGGGTTGTTCCAGTTCTTGTATCTGCTGCAGTAGCTGTACAAACAGTTCGTTGACGTTGATGTTGTATTTAGCACTTGTTTCTATATAGCGACAGTTCTGGAACATTTCTGTTATTTGTTGTACCATTTCTTGAGTGACCGTTCTTTCTTCTACTAAATCGCTTTTATTACCGACCAAAATAACAGGAACTTGCGTGCCTTAAAAGAAAAAAAAAGGTATTTATTTATTTAATAAAATCAATAAAAAAATTAAGAAAAATGCAGTAGAATAGGTTACAGTTTCTATATAAGAATTCCTGAAAGAAGTCTTTTATAACGTTAAAGATGAAGTACTATTCTGGGGTAATTATATTTGTGAAAGTGCTGCCATTTTATTTTTTATTTTCTTCTCTTTACAAAGTTCGGTTTGATATTTTTATAATCAATTTTCTTATACTTGATTTTTTTACTAAGTTTTAATTTAACTTTCCTTTTAATTTATAAAAGGAGATTTAAGAAATACCTTCGCTTTTACAACCGACAAAGTTACAAAATAAGCATATTTTCGCATTTTATATCGTAATGTCAAAGTGTCAAAGCGACTTCAAAAGGCACGAGCCTTTCAAAATACAAGTAAAGGCATTAGGAGCGAGACACAATCTAGAAAATAACTGCATAACAGTCATTGATTTTTCTGTGAAGTAGAGTGACCAGAAAGAAGAGGAGGATGAAAGATTGGGGGAAAAAGGCACAGAACAATAGAAGAAAAAAAAGCACAAATTACTAATATATTTACCTCTTATTTTTGAGACGAGTTCGTACAATTGTACAGCTTCGTGAAAAGACTGCAGGCCATCGACTGAAAAAACTATTACAAATCCTCTACCTGATCTAATACTTAATTCTCTCATAGCTGGGAAATGATGTGATCCTGCAGTATCCAAAATTTCCATAGTATGAAAGACCCCATCTAAGAAAAATCATTAAAATGATTTTAAACAGGCGACGTCATCTTATATTTTAAAATAATTTATCTAAAGCAAATGGACACTGATTCGTTGCCATTTAGAATTAAATTTTTATCGACAAAATTCCATTATGACAGCATTAATCCTTTATACAAAACTTAAAAAAATAAAGGATTTAAAATAATAGAATAAAGAATTTAAAAAAAATATATTATTAAATAATAATAAATATATATTAAAAGAAATTATTTCTTATTTTATTTAACTCCTACGCAAAATCTTAAAACAGTTAAAAGTATTTTGAGTTGTGTCAAATTAATCCATATTTTGATTTAAATATAAAAGTGCATTATTATTATTATAGAAATTTTAATTTATTCTTTTTATTAAAATATAAAATAAATATTGTGANAAAATTAAAAAAAAATTTAATGAAGAAAAATTCGAACATTCAACAGGTGTCATATGACATTCTTGACGTTTTAAAGCCAAAACTTTGCTAAAAATTCGCAATTTTTTGATGAGATATTAACAAATGATTTATAAATTAATTAATATATTAATTGGCAAGGTTCTAGGGCTTATTTTTATTTATTTTTTCATTCATTTAACGCTACAAATTATTATATCTTTTGGAGAAAATTAATTTCCTTCCTCTCCGATGGTTTAGCATTTTAATAATGGTAGAAAACTTGGATTAATTAATTAAATATGTAAAAAAATATTTACCTGGCATCTGGATAGTATGTCGATAGCAATCTTCAACAGTTGGTTTGTAAGTATAGGAGAAGAAACCTTCAAGAAATTGCACAACCAAAGAGGTCTTTCCCACTCCACCCGCTCCCAAAACGACGACCTTGGTTTCTCTCATGACTGACAAAGCATTAATCTTAGATAGAGTGAATTTCCTCGACTTCCATGCTCAACAAACTGAAGATACCTGGAGAATAGTGGCAGCGCACGCGACCATCCTGCTCATCATTGGACGCAAGCGCTCGTCTCCGGTCGTCATGGTAACCGAGAAGTGATGTTGAACTACGACTCTTGGCAGTGATCGACAGACCATACATTTCCAATTGGATTATAAACAACAAATCTCGTTTGTAATTTTCTTAACAACCCATTACAGTATCGTCTCCATCTTTGTTTAAAAAATAAATAAAAAATACAGAAAAGAAAATTTAATTTTAATAAATCTACGATGGAATTCTAAACAGGAATTAATGTTAGAAAGTTTTCTTTAGTTTTAATCTAAAGAATATTATTTACATTTAACAAACATTTAAACACATACTCCGAGTAAAGAATCTTATATAAATTACATAATACAGTATTTCATCATATTCATTTGGGATTTTAACTCAATTTACATAAAGAAAAATACTTTTTTTTTCCTTTTTGTTTAATGAATTACAATTAAATTAAATAATATATATTTTTTCTTTCTTTAACATACAAAAAAAAAAAAAAAACAAGCAATTCCATGAAAATGAAATTTGTACGATCAAATCAAGTTGATCTCATTGAGTGATAGATTCATCACTTTAATCTTAAATTGGTTTGGCTCTTTAAGTGGATATTCATTTATAAACACATATATTGGCTTTCTGGCGCATTAAACTTGTTAAAATATACGTTAATTATATTCTATAACGTCTTATAATTATATCATCTGCCTATTTATGAGGGTTGTTGAATTCGTATCCATTCGTTCGTTGAACCAATACGTGGCAATGACTTGAATCGTGTTAAATATTAAATATTAACAATCTATTTTTAGGTACTTAAAAAAAATATGTTTAAAAAATTTATTGTTAGAATATATTTTTAAAAGGTGAATTTTATTATTTTTAGCAGGAAATTTATTGATTTAAATACATATCATTTTAAGAAACGTTCTTAAAATAGTTCGCTGAGATTTATTAAAATTTTGATGGATTAAACTAGTTCTATTTATATTCTTATAACTTTTAACTTATAAAAATATATCTTATTTACTCAGCGGATCCTGAAAAATTCACTATTTTATTCTTCTTTTAAATGAAAATCAGAATAATTTCTTTTTAAATGAATTATTATTTTTTAATGCTTTGTAAATAAAAAAATAATGAATATTTTTCTTTAAAAGACGTTGATATTTTATAAATACAGTAGAGCATCGATTCTCCGACTCAATTGGGGACTGGGGTTGGTCGGATAACTGAAACAAACGGATAACCGAAAAATATGAAAAAATACATTATTAGTAGGCCTATAGTATATTAGTATATCGCTATTAACCTACTTCGCGTTGAATTTTCATCGATGTTAAGCCTAACAAAAATGTTTTTAAAATAATAATCGTCGCTATTGTATCGTTAAAAATTAGAAAATTAAGCCTCGTTTAAATACTGGCTCCCTTTCATGGTTGAACCAGTGTTGCCAGCTAAAACACGCAAAAATTTAACAAAATATTAAAGTAGCCACGACATAGCCAAATATTGTAGCGCACGTCACTGGCGGACATTTGAATTTGTCGACTAGAACGGTCGGCTAACCGAGGTGACGATTAATCGGGGGTCGGTTAATCGATGCTCTACTGNCATGGTTTATTAAATCTGTAATTTAAATAATAATTAACAAAAGGAAGTGGGAGTTGCATCAATTCAGTTTTGAGTAGGAGATCGAGATTCATATCTTTTTAGAAGGTAAGAAAAATGATGACAAAATGAGTAGATGCTGTCAAATTTATTGTGAAATTCATATCCCTCGAACTAGTGAGGGAATTAGTTTGGATGACGTTCAATCCATTGCGGTCAAGGAGAAAATATTTCATCTATTGATGTTTGTAATAATAATAATAATGCCATAATAGAGCATGGAATGGTATCAATAGCTAGAATTTTCAATAATAATAAGTTCTTATGTTTTCTTCTCACCCAAAAGACAGCAGGCATCAGAAACAGCATCTTTCTGATGAGGGAAACGTAAGTCTACCTGATGAGGGCTTATGTGCGGATGTAGTGAAGTTTAAATAAATGCTTTGCACATTGTTGCGAGTCTTTTGGTGAGATGAAAGCATAAGAAACCATTATTTTTGAATACACCTTAAAATCTTTTTAATTGTAAAAATCCATTTCGGAGTATTATTATTAAATCTAAAATAACACATTAAAAATATAAAAATAATCCAATAAAATTTTTATTTAAAAAACAACCTTATTGTATTCGAATAGGTTTAAGTAGAGATAAAGATTAGATAAATTATTTAATTTCAAGAAAGAAATTTTGGCAGGCACATACAAGAAATATGATGCGAGTTTATCTCCCATCTTTTAATATTTTAAACGCTAAATGATTAAATAAAAAAATAGCTTTGTATATTATTTATTTAATTTAATGAATTATTTCAATCTCTTGAATTACTCTACCCTCTTAATTTAAATACATTTAAAAGAATTCAGTAAAAATAAATAACATTTTTTATAACAGATAAAAAAATTATCGGAAAAATTATTAATTAAACTAAAAAGAAGTATAACCATTATTCATCTTTAGTATTTAGGCTTGGACATTTACAGTACTTGTTTGTAATGATTCATTTTAACAGAAAAAAAAACATAAATAACTTAATGAATGAATACTAATGGTTTATTGTATGTAATTTTGCAATCAGAATGAAACAGTGTAATAGTATTTCTTCAGTTTTTAAGGTATTTTTAAATAAAATTGTTATTGTTTTTGAAAAATATCTATATAAGTAAATATTAATTTTAAAATATAGAATTTATGTAGATAAATGATATGGTTTTGCTCTTACTAACAGGAGTAGTAGTTTTCAACCAGTGTGCCGCAAACTTTTTACAGGATGCCACAAAATTTCCAAAAAATTATTTAAGATTTCTAATTGTTTCTTTACTTTTCACTACTATTAGTATATTTTTTATGAAAAAATGCATATCTTTAACGTCATCTTTTGCATCTACTGTACAATAGTACTCAACATGAAAGAGCACACATTGATATGACATTGGTTTGTTGAATTGACACCAAAAAGTTGAATGCCTCTAGCAAAACACATTCATTCATTCATTCAATTTATTTACGGAGGCATAAATGCATACCTTGGCTCCGCTATGAGCACTACCAAGGAAATAAAATACAGGAAATGTAAACGAACAACAGTATGTACATTGTAGATTCCATGCAGAACTTTAAGTTAATGGATAGAATACATGAAATTATAATAAAATAAAATAAAATAAAATTATACTATAGTAAAACAAAGTATTCGCGCGACATTAAATCCACAAAATTACTAGTAGAAGAAAATGAATACAGAAAAACATAAGCGAACAGCAGTGAGTACATTGTAGATTCCATGCAGAACTGCATATAAAAGACAAAGTCCATAAATTACATACAGGATAAGATAATACATGTTGATATATGCAAACAGCAGATACATTATATTTACTGTTTATTGTATTTATGGAATCTACATTCCATACAGAACCTCGTAATTGTGGATAAAATGCATAAAACTTATAATTAAATAAAATTAATAACACTAATAATTACAAAGCTAACACGATAAGTAGACAGTCTTTAAGTCAAAGTCAGTGTTAGCAGTAGATTAGTTGGCTTGTGATCTGATTGATCTTTTTTGCAAGTCTTTTAAAGGCAGAGAATATCTCTTGGTTGGTCCAGATGTTTGAGAGGTGGCACGGCCAAGCTATGTTCAATTCCTGCAANTAAATGGATAGATATATAAATTTATGTGGAGATGAACAAATTCGATTGAAAGATCAATTTACTATTTATTATTTTAAAATTAGATTAAACTATAAATGTAACTTTAATAATTTTCCATCCTCTAGTTACTTCAAGTGTCCTTGTTTTTATTTATTTACACTGGTTATATAACTAAAGAAACTTTTAAAAGATTAATCATCAATAAAAAAAAAAGTGATCTGTAGTTTAGAATTTATATTTTAAATTTATTTTCAAGAGGTTCTACATTATTATTCTTATTCTGTTAAGTGTAATTCTTTATCTGGCATGTATGACATTTGACAAATTATATATAATAAAAGGACATTTTTATTGCTTTTCATGATGCATTTTATTATAATTCTAATTGTTGGTACAGGCAGTGGCAGAATACATTCATTTGTAAATTTATATTTTTAACACTCGATGGATTATAATTTAATAAATATCATTATATGAATAACTATAGAATTAGCACATTATACAATCTTATATAGCCGTATATTTAATGAATTTTGTTATACTTCACACATTTTATAAGTCCTGATAAATTTTATATATGTACAAAAATTTGTTCAATGCATAAAATGAGTGAAAGACGACAATAGACGAGTACATGAATTTAAAAATATGAACTGAACAAAATGAAAAATATTACAGATGACAAGTTTATAGAATTATATCACTTTAAATTTAATTTACATTTGGCAATGCTTAGCATGTTTCTGTATCAGAAACCATTCTTTTGGATTACCTATATTCAGCAAATGCTTGATGGTGCTTTGAGCAATAGAGCAGCCGTGATCACAGAGCCTTCATTAAATGTAAATTTATTGCTGAGATTTTAGCAATTGCTCTACAGCCGCATTAACATCGCCAGAAGTACTAATTAATGCTGTAAAAAATATTTAATAATTACTTTTTAGTATGCATTGAAACTGCATATTTATTCCAAAATTAAAAATAAATTATACCTTGTAAGTTAGCATCCTTATTAAAAAATCCCATAGCAGATAACTGTTCTAGTTCACCACAATATTTCACTTCTGACTGTGGATTCTGACAAAAAAGTATTTTAATATATAATTTCAAAATATGGTAAAAAAATCCAGTAAGAAACTTACTGTTACTTCATTTTGTGCCATTGCAGTGACCATACTTGCCATAAATTTTTTAAATGAATCTTGAAAGCTGCCTCTTAATGGTGAATTTGTAACATTGGAATTTGCAGATTCTTTTGTAGATTGCCCAGGAAATCTAAATGTAATAATAATTATATGATAGTTTAGTGATTATAGCATTGATACCTCTTATTTACTTTGTCATATATTATAATAATAAAATAATAAGTATTTTTAATATTAAGGGAGAAAAATTACTCAAAATAATTTAGACTCTCTCATTAATGATTTAGATCAGAGGTTAGCAGCCTTTTATGAGTGCTGTACCAAAATAAAACAATGTGATGACTCCATGCCAGTTTTATTTTGTAAAAAGACTTCTAAGATTCACAAAAAGTAATGTACTTTATTCAGATCTATATGACCTAATGTAACCTAAACATTATGTTTCACTGATCAATTTTTTATGTCTTTGCTGTGGACCTGGAACTAGCTGCATGCCATTAAAAATTGCTCCGTATATATGCTAGGAATATATGCCACAGACTGTCAACTCAACTTAGGCTTTGTCAATATGTAGATAAATGACTTCAATCCAAAAATCAATAGACATATTATTTTATCATTTAGCTGCCAAGTTTTGCTTTTAAACTGTAGTTATATAATGTTCAAATTATTATAATTCATCAATAATTATTTTCTAAAGATAAAGTAAATCTTAGTAAATATGCCATTCACATTTGAAAATATAAGGATGGATCAATAAACCAGCCAAAAGCAACAGCATGGCTGGTTATTTATTGATCCACCCTTATTAGTAGTTAATAACTTAATTAAATAATAATTTAACTTAAATATTACCTAAACATATTTGGACTAACCATATTTAATCCATTTGCAGTATTTATTAAAGATTTAAAGAATCTGTAAACAGAGGGTTTTTAAACTATCTTATAAAGATTATTTTAAATGTAAAAGCTAAATTTTTTAAGTTTTATTTTCAACAATTTAATTTCCCAAGAAAGGTTGTTAAAGTTTAATGATTAAAAGATAAGACTTTTTTCATGTTTATTATACTCAAGAGAATAGTATATAGATGTTTTAGCAAACAGACCACAGAAGTAATTAAACATATTTTGGATAATGACATAAGCATGTTTAAAAAGTAAAATAAAAAAAAATTTTGTTTAATTTTTCTGTAACGAAATTATAATACATCTCAAGAATTATTCTTTTGTAAACATTGTTTCCAATTTTGACAGGATTATTTGAGGATCATAAATAATATTTCCAAATATTCACCTTTCAGTATCTTTACTTATCCCACATAAAATAATAATTACTATTGTTTAAATATTACATTTACTGTCAACAAATTATAAAACTAACAGTTTAAATATCTTATAAACAGAAATATATTTTTATTTAATGGAATAAAACCATATAAAAAATTAATTGCTTACATGTTGAAAACATTGGGTGCAATTTGATGCAACTGATCCATGCCTTGCTGAATTTGCATAATAGCTTGCATGGCTTCTGGATTTGAAACTAAATTATGTATATCTGGATTTTGAAGCTGTAAAAAATCATATAGTCAGTCAGTAAATCATTATTTTAATATTTTATTATTTGCATCTGTTAACAACGATTACCTGCTGTAAGCAATTAGGCATAGCAAGCTTCATTTGTTCTTGTAGTTTAGGATCTTCAGAAAACACAGGATGAGTGGCAATAAACTGAAAATAAATTTGAAGTAAATTAATATAAATATATTTTATTTCATTGCTTTTTATAGAGCAATTAAAAAGTATTTTTGGTTAAAGATGTTTTCAAGTAAATAAAAGCAACATAACAAGAGCTTTAAAAGAGTTAAAATGGTACATTTCTTCTAAGAATTTCTTAACTGTTTTAAAGTAAAAAATAAAAAATAACAATAATAATAATCAAGTTAGAGAATTGAGATTATTTAAATATTATCCAGAAATAAATATTATTTTAAGAAAAGTCCTTTGCAATTTATATTTTATGTTTTGGAACTTTATTACAAATGTTTTCTTTTTATTATTTACAGGGTGAACCATAAGTCTGGCTCCACAGGAGTTATGTTGATGTTTGTTTATTCCTTTACAAGTGAAATAAGACACTCAGTTAGGAGGAATGAATTCAAGTTATTTTGATGAAGAAAACCCTCAGTTAATGTACCAAAAAGTCTAACAGGCTGCATCCAGACTTTCCACCAATCATATACAATGGTCTAGATGTAACCTTTTAAACTCATTGGCTACTTTATGCTAACTGAAGAGTCTCATCATCAAAATAACTTGAATTTATTCCTCCCTATTTAGTACCATGTAAAAGAGTAAACAAGCATCAACATAACTCCTACAGGGCCAGACTGATGGGACACACTGTATATGATAGAAGTAGAACCAAAGAGGAGAACATTTTTATTTTATTCTACTCTAGTTAAAAATTTTATTAAATTTTGGTTATAAAATAATTTAGTAGATTTTTAAAAAGATTCAATACAAAATATATCCCATTAATTATATGTAATTTCCTTATCTTATAAATACACACACACACACACACACAAAAAACTTGCTCCAAATTTCTTCTTAATGTTTAGTATAATATTTGTAATATCAACAAATATTTCACAAGATCTTTAGGAATTATATCTTTCATACTTAACAGAGACTTTTCACTAATTACCTTTTCAGCCATTTGAGGATTTGCTGTTAAAAACTGAAGCATAGCTTGGACATATGGAGCATTGAACATGTTCTGCATCAATTTCGGATTTGTAATTATCTGTTGCATTAGAGACTGCATGGCTGGAGAATTAAGTATACCTTGACTCGACGGTGACAGTTTTATTTCACTTTGATTCAATTCTTTCTTTTCTGTAGTATCTGATTAAAATAAAAATTTATTATAATTCAGATATAATACAATTGTCTAATATTTTCTTATTTAACATTGTAACAATTCAAATCTGCCTTCAATTTTACTGATACTGTAAATTATGAGCTGTACTTTTATGAATTAAATAATATCTGTTATTTAGTCCCATATTCAATGTAAAAACTTTAATTTTCCAAAGCATTTCATTTGAAAGTACTGTTTATTTTATAGGATTATTCATTTTCATGTTAAAACATATTGTTATAAGATTGAGTATGTTTTAACATACTCAACTTTGTAACAAACAGATAACTTTTTACATTTAATAACAAAAATTTGAAGAAATTGTGTAATATAATAGATTTGTTCAATAGAAAACACTTTTAAATAAGATAATCAACAAATATACACCATGATGAACATAAAAATGTAACTCTTAAAACTTATAATTTTATAAAATTTTGAAGAATTAATTTAAGTAACTAAATTTAAAGCTAAGATTTATTAATATTTTTCACACTTGCAATATAGAATATAAAAACAAGCATACACAAAAAAATTTGAGTATGCTTGAATGTTTTTAATTTTCAGCACTATTATATTTATCGTAAATAGCCTGCAAATTACAATAAACTTTATATTAGTAAAAAATTTTCATGTATTCATTGCTTGTAAGAATGAATTCTTTTTATAAATATAATGCAAATTATCAGAATAAAATATTAATTCTTATACTTTTTTCAGCAGTTTTCTTAGGTTTTATTTCTTTTATTAAAAATTTTAAAATATTAAAATTAAAATAACAATTTCTAGCAAAACCCATGTCTTATAATCCAAAAGTTAAACCAGAAACCAGAATATAAAACATAAACTAATATTGCTGACAATTGTTTAATTTTTCTAAATACTCTATCTAATAATTATAAAATTTTAATTCAAATAATAACTTCAANGTGTGTATCACAATTTGATGTAGTGATCCAGGTTCAATTGAAAGCACACCTCCACACTCAAATTGATAATATTTACAGTTTATTCACAGGTTCTATATGTAGAAGGTACAAGTTCGAAAACATAATATATATATACAGGATAACAATGTTTGGTGACTCGTACTAGCTTGGTTTCTGGGAACTTTTAAACTTTGAAGAGGCCTCAGTCAGCTCATGGAGTTGGCTCAACTGCACGGTCCGTCCAGTCTCTGCCCTAGCCCGTCCCTGAGATGTTTGCCAGAGGAGAATACTCTCTCTACGCTCAGCGGGCCTTCCAAGTGCCCAAGACCACCGTGTACCAGTCTCTTGCCCTTCTCTCTTCCCTTCTCGTTCGCCCCGCAATTTAAGAGTTTTTTGGACGGGGACTTCCGACTAATCACAACCCCTTCTTGCCCGAACAGCTTACACTCAGGTTTGCCGTCATCCGACGAGAGTGAAGCTTACATAAACGTCTGCCACTTGTTTACACTCAGTTGTTTACCATATGGCAAATAGTCTAACGTCTGACTACAGGTGGGTCCAATTGACAAAGCCGGCACTTCCTTTGTTTTTCCTTGTTTACAAGTCAACACCTTACAAGTGGTATTACCCGACTGCACGTGGGTCCAATTGACGAAGTTGTGCCTCTTTTGTTCCCACTCTGCTAAAAGGTCAATACTTTATATATATATATATGTAAAGTATTGACCTTTAAAAAAAATATATATATATATGAAAGACCCCATCTAAGAAAA